CATGGACTACAGCCCACTTCTTCGGATGCATATAGAATGGAACATATATTGAGGAGATATATATAGTCTCTAAGGTGCCACAAGTACTCCTGTTCTTTTTCCTTTTATTTGTTATAAACCTGCTTCCTATTAATTTCATTTGGTGACCCCTAGTTCTTGTGTTATGAGAAGGAGTAAATAACACTTCCTTACTTACTTTCTCCACACCAGTTATGATTTTATAAACCTCTATCATATCCCCCCTTAGTCGTCTCTTTTCCAAGCTGAAAAGTCCCAGTTTTATTAATCTCTCCTCATATGGCAGCCGTTCCATATCACTAACCATTTTTGTTGCCCTTTTCTGAACCTTTTCCAATTCCAATGCATCTCTTTTTGAGATGGAGCGACCACATCTACACTCAGTATTCAAGATGTGGGATAGAGGCAATATGATATTTTCTGTCTTATTATCTAACCCTTTCTTAATGATTCCCAACATTCTGTTCACTTTTTTGACTGCCGCTGCACGTTGAGTGGATGTTTTCAGAGAACTATTCACAATGACTCCAAGATCTCTTTCTTGAGTGGTAACAGCTAATTTAGACCCCAGCATTTTATATGATTAGTTGGGATTATGTTTTCCAATGTGCATTACTTTGCATTTATCAACATTGAATTTCATCTCCCATTTTGTAAAAAGCAACGAAGAGTCCTGTGGCACCTTATAGACTAACAGATGTATTGGAGCATAAGCTTTCGTGGGTGAAAATTAGCATGGGAAAATAGGTTTTACTTTAATTAGGTTTTACATACTATTAAAGTAAAACCTATTTCCCCATGCTAATTTCCCCCCCTACTGTTACTCACACCTTCTTGTCAACTGTTGGAAATGGGCCATCCTGATTATCACCACAAAAGTTTTTTTTTCTCCTGCTGATAATAGTCCACCTTTACCTGATTACTCTCGTTATAGTTAGTATGGCAACACCCATTTTTCCATATCCTCTGTGTATATACATCTTCCTACTGTATTTTCCACTGCATGCATCTGATGAAGTGGGTTTTAGCCCACGAAAGCTTAAGCTCAAATAAATTTGTTAGTCTCTAAGGTGCCACAAGTACTCCTTGTTCTTTTTGCTGTACAGACTAACCCAGCTACCACTCTGAAATCTGTTTTCCTCAAACAGTTTTAGAACTATCCTGCTGAAATCTTGGGCTGCCTCTCCAAAGTGTTTGAAAGATTGTCTAGTTATCAGTGTAGCAAAGTTCCAAGATGAGCTCAGTGTCATTGTAAACCTCAACTTCAAGTAGCATCAAAAAATTTTTGTTTTTCCCACAGAATAATAGGCACTTTAGAGACAACCTTCATTGAGATGATCATTTAGAATTATTGTAATAGTGAATATCCCTTTGGCTGTGTTTTGAATGCTGAGTATGGATGTGAGGAAGAGGAGAGTATGTTCAGCCTTTTAAGAAATATTCAGATTATTTTCATTTGAACAGAAAATGGATTATTTTTAAAATTGAAAATTTGCTGTAGACTTAGTTCTCAATAAGTGCAAATGCCTTTGTAAATTTGGTTTAGAAATAAAGCTTTACAACCACATTTGGTGAAAGTTAAGTATGCAATTTTCTATTAATTTTAACAGCATATTGAATTATGATAATATGTGACAAATATGTATGGGTGTGCAATTTTGCACATTGACATAATTGTATATACATATTCAGCCATTTATGACTGATATTACACATTCAAATAAATACACACAGTTTTCAATCTATTGATCTGTTGCTTAAAAAAAAAGAACAGCGCAGCTGTTGGTTGTGTATCCTGCTCATTCAGTTCTTTCATAAATATGAGGATTACCTCTTTTGATTTGTGCCAGTCCTCTTGTCTTCCTTTCTCTTTCCCAGTCTCTTCTGTCTCCTTCCTTCTCTTTTTAAATTTGCATCCTTTTCTGTCTGTCTGTCTGTCTCTCTCTCTCTCTCTCTCTCTCCCCTTTTTTGTTTTTGTTTGGATTTTTCTTCCATTTCTTTGCTCTGGCATTCTTAGGGTAAGAGCATGCAAACAGTAGCATTTTTAGATGTCTAAGAGATAAAGAAGGGGAATGAATTAGTTCTTCTGTGTTTGGTACACAGATTTATGTTGCTTGTTGCAAGTTTCTGGTTTCGGAGATTTGGTTTTTTTTGTTTGTTTTTTCTATCTCCATAGCAATATACTGGTATAACTATGAACACATCAAGAAGCGGTTGTACAAGACATTAGATGCACATGAACCAACATTTATGATCAGCTTTACTTCAGGGGCAACAGCTGGCTCTGTAAGTCTACGTTTCTGTTGCTGATATTTCTAAGCAAACTTCTTCTTTGCATTAATCCCGTCAGATGGGGTTCTCTCTATGACTCCTCTCCCTCCAAAGTGCTCTGTTCAATGCCATATCCTCTACCACACCACATGCTAACATGTCTTCATTTAGGATGTTTCTAATAAATAAACTGTTCAATTCATTGGGAGTTTGAATATGTAATTAATAAAACACAAGGAGTGAAATTACAGGAGATTCTCCCACAAATTGTGAATATGTTGTTGAACACAAGGTTAGAATCAATGTGTCTTTAGCTATACATAAAATGCAGTCATCTGGTGATGAAACACTTGAATTGTTATTGCTTTTATTTGTGAGTGAAGCAAATTGGAAAACATTTAATAAAATCAGACGGGTAGCCGTGTTAGTCTGTATCCACAAAAACAACGAGGAGTCCGGTGGCACCTTAAAGACTAACAGTTAAAAATATGTCAATTACAATGGATTTTTTTACCTTCAGTCCATTTGGTAGGATGTCCATCTGTTTGCACTTGGAGAGGAAGAAGACTTTAAGGTGCCACTGGACTCCTCGTTAGTTAATAAAATGTTAAAGTAAAATACAAGTGTAAAAGATATCTAAGTAGTTTTGATTGGAAATCTTCTTAGAACTTTTTTCTATTACTACAAATTTTAGCAGCCTGTTAAATCATGGAGTCTGTAGCTGCAGTTAATAAAATAAAAAGAAGTATTGGCAGAGTTCAAGGAACAATCACAGCTGAAGCCTACAGTTAGCCTGAACTTTGCCAAAGCTGGCTATTATTTCCACATTACTTCAATCATGTTAACTTTGTGAAAATGGTTTGTTTGAAAAGAAGCACTATGTGGGCAACTGTTAGGCCCAAAGTAACCACAACAGCAAAGCTAGAATATGCTGTTTTCAGATACTTGATAGCTTTTATATCTATTTTAACCTATACATAGTATAATTGCTGTCTTTTCATTTTTTTTAACAAGGACAACATGGTGTGTGCCTGTGGGGTGGGGAGTTAATGATATTCAAAATGTTCTCATACTTTCCTGCATGTTTACATTTTTAAGATACATAGCTGTTAGAAAGACCTACTAATTTGTTTTTAAACTCACAACTTCATTTCAAGATCATTATCGACATAATGGAATGGTGGAATCACAACCTCTCAGAAAACTCAGTTGATTGTTATATGGTTGACTTCAGTTCATTTGGACAATTTATAGTAAGCGGCAATCATTTAAAAATGCTGTTGTCTTGGGGTTTTAATCAAACTTTAAAAATAATTCTGTTTCACTGGTTTGGTTTTTTTTACAGATGATAAACACAGCATTGTGATTAGCATAGCCATGAAGTATTTTCTGTAGCATATATGTGTACTGTGTGTTCAAACTCTTTTAAATATATATAATCAAGTGAGGGAATACCAAATCATCGGTGGGTAGATACAGTACCAGACATTGTTTTGGTGGGGAGACCTCGTAGTTGAAATTGCAAAATAAACTCTAGTGGATAGAGTACTGTAAGGCAAAATCTAATGTGTTTGATCATGGACAAAGCACACACCTCAGTATACAGTGGAGTCGCATCTTACTCAGGGGTTAGGTTCCAAAGTCAGCGTGTAAGGCAAAAATCGCATATAGTCAAAATTACCCTGGAGAATCCCTTAAATCGCCCATAAAGTACTGTATACGGTACATGGTTTTGTGTATACAACCCTGTACAGTAATATGTATAAATGTATAATGTATACAGTAATGTACAGTATATAATAAAGAGTACATATGCAAAATATAATTTTACAGTACTGTATTTTTAATTACAGCGGGTAATTACAGGGGGTCGTCAGGGCTTGATGTTGATCCAGGAGATGGAGGTGATGGAGAGCTTGGGTGACGGAGAGCGAGTCGTAGACAAAGTGGTTGGCTCTGGTTCAGCTCGAGAAGTTGATTGCGTAGGCTCATCTGCTGCTGGTTGTTTTTCCTTGGAAAAACATAGTGATCGGCAACTGTCGCTGTTGTCTCTTGAGCTGCTCAAACATTTCTTAATACAGTCTCAAATCGTCTGTAATACTACATGTGATTTTGAGGCTTTGTTCCATAGAGGGATCGTATTCAGAAATTAAATCATTCAAGTGTTTTGCTGCTTGGAACACTTCAGCAAATTTATGAAGATTCCAACTTGCTGTCTCTTCCTGTTCGTCGTCGTTATCTTCGTCTTCTGTAGACTATTTTATCAGTTCCTCTAACTCTTCGTTAGTCAATGTTTCTCTATGGCTCTCAATTAATTCTTCAATTTCTTCCTTAAGGATATAGACGAAGCCGTCACCACCTACTTGCCTGGCCACCTGAACAATGTGTTTCACTTCTTCGTCAAGGGTCAGGAAACCCTTAAAATCATTCACACATTTCCATAGGTTTCGCCAACATGCATTGACGGTTTCAGGCTTGATTGCATCCATTGCCTGTTTAATATAAGTGATGCAATGAGCAATGTTGAAGGACTTCCAACACTCCATCATGTTAAGATTGGGATCAGCATCCATAGCGCTACATATCCATAAGAACGTAAGCCTCATGTACGTGGCCTTGAAACAGCGAATCATGCCTTGGTCGAGAGGTTGAAGGATGGAGGTGGTATTGGGAGGGAGAAAGATGACTTCAACATTGTTATGTGCCAAACGGAGTGCCGCAGGGTGGCCAGGAGCATTGTCTATACTTAAAGTCAAGTCCTTTCTCTTCAAGATACTGCTTGACCTCCGGAATGAAACATTTGTGGAACCAATCCAGAAATAATGCTGCCGTCACCCAAGCCTTTTTATTTGATTGCCAGAACACAGGCAGGAGATTTTTGTTCTTGCCTTTCAGGGCACGGGGATTTGCAGCCCTGTAGAGCAAGCCCGGCTTTATTAAATGCCCAGCCACATTGCCACAAAACAACACAGTCACATGGTCTTTAGCTGCTTTGAAGCCAGGGGCTTGTCCTTCTGATTTTGAAATGTAAGTGCAGTTGGGCATTTTTTTTCCAGAAGAGCCCAGTCTCATCAGCATTAAAAACTTGTTCCAGAAGATAGCCCTTTTCTTCTATGATTTTCTTTAATTGTTCGGGGTAGGCTTTTGCTGCCTCTTCATTGGCACATGCAGCTTCACCAGTAGTTTGCACGTTTTTGAGGTTGAAGCGGTTCCTAAAACTGTTAAGCCAACCTTGGCTGGCTTTGAATTCCTTCTCATCAGAAGGCTGTCCCTCTTTGGCAGGAGGTTTCAACAGCGCGTAGAGGCTAAGAGCCTTTTCTCACAACGTGTTGCCATCGAGAAGCACACGTTTGCGGTTCGTGTCTTCCAGCCAGAAGTTTAATGCCTTTTCAGTCTTCACTAAAGTCTTATCACGCACCTGGCTTGTCACCTTAGTAGTTATTGGAGCACTTAATGCCATGGCTTGACGAATTTCTCTCTCTCGAATCTTGATGGAACAGATGCTAGATTTGTTGCGGCCATATTTACGTGCCACGTTGGAGACTGACATACCGTCTCTCAATAAGTCCACACAGCCAGTTTTTCCTCCAGTGTTGGAACAGATTCCTCTTTCTCTGGTTGAGCACCAGATGAAGTAGTTGGCTTGTGTTTAGGGGCCATGTTGTACGAAAAATACGTATCTTTAAACACTAGAATCACACTCAGTGAGGCGAGATGCTCACACTATGAGAGGCACGCGGGAACTGAGACTGACTGAGGGAACAGCAGATTCACGTCTCCCATCTCGCGCTCACTCCAGGACTTACGCTCATTGAGTGGAATGGTGGGTGGAATCACCCACACTATTTACAGGTATCTTGTAGTTTTTCTTTTTTTTTGCCGAGCACGTATAGTTGATTCGCACAAGTTAAATGAGCGTATGATGCGACTCACCTGTAGTCACTTTCCCTGAGGTTTTACAATCTAAAGTCCAGATCCCCCAGTGATGCACTGGAATGGAAGCTAGTGGATCCAGTTTCAGGATTAGGGCTTGAAAGACAGACAAATGACAGGAAACACCAGGAATCTAGAAGAAGGAGATACTGTGTGAGACCGATTCCCCCCAGGATGCCATCTAGAACTGGGGTACCATTGAGCCCTCTGACCCACTAGCCTGGGCTCACTCTCACACTGTGTTGCTGTGACATTTTAAGTGAAATATTAATAAAATCTCTTTACTCTTTAATAGATTGCAGCTACAGTAACTTTACCATTTGATGTGGTGAAAACACACAAACAAACTGAAATTTGGGAATATGAGACCTTAAACTGTAAGTTGTTTGGAACGAGATTACTGCACGTTCTTTACATTTTAGATTACCTTAGGAGCTATCTTTATCTATCATTCCACTGTTCAAAGGTGAAATTCTCCCCAGCATAGAGGGCTCAAATAAAGTCCACTGTACCACTTACGTCTTATTGTGGGGCTTAAATGGGAAGAAGAGCCATTGTTGGCCTTGTGCACAGGAGTGCATATTACTAATTGGAAGTAATAAAGATGGGAAATCTTAAAACATAATTCTGTTTAGTTACATGGATTTCTAGTGGGGACTTTAAATCATCCCCGTATTCTTTCTTCTATGATGTATCACAAAACGCTGTAATTTGCCCTGTTCTGTAAATTATCAGGGTTGGAAGGAACCTCAGGAGGTCATCTAGTCCAACCCCCTGCTCAAAGCAGGACCAATCCCCAGACAGATTTTTGCCCCAGGTCCCTAAATGGCCCCCTCAAGGATTGAACTCACAACCCTGGGTTTAGCTGGCCAATGCTCAAACCCCTGAGCTATCCCTCCCGTTCTATGTGCTGTAATGTCTTCTGGAATACTTCATGGGAACTGTTCTATTTTATGTATTTTTAATGACTCGGAGGAGAGAAAAAATGAGAAGCTGGTGATGTTTCCTGTAATACTGTTTCAGTTAAGAAAAACTGTAGAACATTGTATGTCTAACTTGACATGTCACTGTTTAGCTTCATTTCTCAGAGAGCATGAATGGAAGATTAAGTTGCTTGTTACACCCTTATCTACATTAGGCTGGAGTCACTCTAGCTAAGATAAGCAGGAATACCCTGGTACTAGGGACAATGGACAAGATAAATCTGGAATGTAGAGATCAGGTTATAGTGAATTGCATATGGACAGAGCATGCTGTACAGGGATTAGTTCCTGAAAAGCAACCAAGCCAATCATGAAGTGCGTGATATAACGTGTAGTCAGAAATGCAGGTGTTAGTAAAGACGTATATAAGGAAAAGTTTGGCTATGTAACTTGGTTTTGTGATGTACCCTGCATCCACCCCCTGCAATTGAGCCTGGACAGCTTGGGTCTAGTGTTGCTGAATGCTAAATAAAGGTATCTGAGTGGTGAATTCTGGAGTCAAATTGAGTGGAAGAGGATCTCATGGGATCCTAATATTTATCCAAATTAAATGCAATTCTTATGATAATTTTTTTTCTAAGTTTCTTCTATAAACTGAACATGAACAATGTTCTGTGGAAAAACTCTTTGGAGTTGACAGGAATAACATAAAAATCGTTTGCACATCTAGCCCCACCCACCCTATTAGAAAAGAGGACTGTCTCTCCTTAAATATTTTTGTTTTTTAACTTTAATCCAGAAAAGGACTACATTGTTCTCAAGTTCTGCACAGGCAGAAATTGTGGAAAAACAACATCGCTTGCCTCATAACCGAAGTCGTGCAGAATGCAATGCCATCCACAGCCTCAGAAACCACCCTGACATTATCATCAAAGAGGCTGATAAAGGAGGTGCTGGTGTCATCATGAACAGGTCTGACTACCAAAAGGAGGCTGCCAGACAACTCTCCAATACCAAATTCTACAGGCCACTTCCCTCAGATCCCACTGAGGAATACACTAAGAAACTGCACCATCTATTCAGGACACTCCCTACATTAACACAGGAACAAATCAACGTTTTGTTGATTTAGAGCCCCGACCGGGGTTATTCTATCTACTACCCAAGATCCACAAACCCGGAAATCCTGGACGCCCCATCATCTCGGGCATTGGCACCCTCACTGAAGGACTGTCTGGATATGTGGACTCCCTACTCAGACCCTACGCCACCAGCACTCCCAGCTATTTCCGTGACACCACTGATTTCCTGAGAAAACTACAATGCATTGGTGACCTTCCAGAAAACACCATCCTAGCCACCATGGATGTAGAGGCTCTCTACACAAACATCCCACACACAGATGGAATACAAGCTGTCAGGAACAGTATACCTGATGATGCCACAGCACAACTGGTTGCTGAGCTCTGTGACTTTATCCTCACACACAACTATTTCAAATTTGATGACAATATATACCTCCAGACCAGTGGCACCGCTATGGGCACCCGCACGGCCTCACAATATGCCAACGTTTTTTATGGCTGACATGGAACAACGCTTCCTCAGCTCTCGTCCACTCATCCTCCTTCTCTACCTACGCTACATTGATGACATCTTCATCATCTGGACCCATGGGAAGGAGACTCTGGAAAAATTTCACCACGATTTCAACAGCTTCCACCCCACCATCAACCTCAGCCTGGACCAATCTACACGGGAGGTCCACTTCCTAGACACCACGGTGCAAATAAGTGACGGTCACGTTAACACCACCCTATACCGAAAACTCACCAACCGCTATACCTACCTTCATGCCTCCAGCTTCCATCCTGGACACACCACACGATCCATTGTCTACAGCCAAGCACTGAGATACAACCGTATCTGCTCCAACCCCTCAGATAGAGCCCAATACCTACAAAATCTTCACCAAGCATTCTCAAAACTACGATACCCGCATGAGGAAATAAGGAAACAGATCAACAGGGCCAGACGTGTACCCAGAAGCCTCCTACTGCAAGACAAGCCCAAGAAAGAAACCAACAGAACTCCACTGGCCATGACATACAGGCCCCAGCTAAACCTCTCCAACGTATCATCAGTGATCTACAACCCATCCTGGACAATGATCCCTCACTTTCACAGGCCTTGGGTGGCAGGCCAGTCCTCGACCACAGACAACCCGCCAACCTGAAGCATATTCTCACCAGTAACTACACACCGCACCATAGTAACTCTAACTCAGGAACCAATCCATGCAACAAACCTCGATGCCAACTCTGCCCACATATCTACACCAGCGACACCATCACAGGACCTAACCAGATCAGCCATCACCGGTTCATTCACCTGCACGTCCACCAATGTAATATACGCCATCATATGCCAGCAATGCCCCTCTGCTATGTACATCGGCTAAACTGGACAGTCCCTATGTAAAAGGGTAAATGGACACAAATCAGATATCAGGAATGGCAGTATACAAAAACCTGTAGGAGAACTCTTCAACATCCCTGGACACACAATAGCAGATTTAAAGGTAGCCATCCTG